CCCTGTCTCTTATACACATCTAGATGTGTATAAGAGACAGGTCTCTCTCTCTCTCTCTCTCTCTCACGCGGGCGCGGGCGCGGGCTTTTTTAAAAAAAATAAAAAGGCCTCGATGGACCACGGATCAGATATGAAACTGAACGGAGCAGATACTACGCTTGATCCTGTAGGGGCAGGATCCGATATGAAAGTGATTGAAGCAGATACTACACTTGATCGTGTGGGGCCGAGGAGGGGGGAGGCGCATAGTTAGTAGATTGGGCTCTCTCTCTCTCTCTCTCTCTCTCTCTCTCTCTCTCTCTCTCTCTCTCTCTCTCTCTCTCTCTCGCGCGCGCGCGCGCGCGCACAGATCTCGGTATGGACCGTCGGTAGATTGGGGCCGGCGTGTCTATCTGAGCCGTCGGTATGGACCGACGGCCTAGATCTCGGCGCAGTCCTAAGATCTTAAGACCGCATCTATCCAGGCCGTCGGTCTGGTAGGACCCGACGGCCCAGATGGCAGATTTGTTACATGGTTAGGTCGATCTGGGCCGTGGGCCAGTAGGACCAACGACGGCCTGGATTTCAGATTTGTCACGTTAGCGATTTTAATAGTGTAGGGATAGATAAGATGGCAAACCATAATCTGAATAAATGTATGCAAACTACTGCAATGGAAGAAATGAAACAACATCAAGCCTTGCAGCAAAAGAGAGAGAATAAAAATTAAAACCAACTTTAACCAAGCCAGCAATACGATAACGGTTCAATAAGTGATATGGTTATTATAATATTATAATGACTATTAATAAATCAAGAACTGTTTCTTTTTTCAAGCTGCAATTGGCAAGTTGACTAAACTTTAAACCACCAGTACACGCGCACCTAAAATCTCGAACCTACCTGCCCACTACGCGCCACTATTTTCCGAGCCTTCTGCGTGAGGGTACCTGCAGTGGGAATTTTGGAAGTGGGACTGGTGCCGGCGGTCTGCCTGAAGGGAAAAAAGAAAAGAAAAGAAAAGAAAGGAACAAACATGCCAGAGAGCAATGATGTCGTCAAAGGACGTTATGGAGGCCATATGCAAATGATCACTTTCCTGAATGCATCTGACCACTATTACAGGGAGAGGGAAACGTTGCTGTTTTTCCTTTTTTTCTCGTTTTGCTTTTTTCTTCCTGGCCCTGCCAGCAAAGCAGCGCATATTCCTCTTGCTCAAAACGCCCTCGCTGAGGGCATACTCACACTAGCGACGTTGAAATGCATCCAACCACTTTCACGGCCAAAGCGTTGTTGGCTTTTTTTTTTGTTGTTCTTTTTTTGAGAGTCCGACAGCCCTGCTCCCCGTGTTTTATGTTCTGCTGAAGTGCCCTCACTGACAGCAAACTCGCACAAGTACTCCAAAAAGTGTATCCAACTGCAATCACGGCCAAAGGCTTTTTTTTTTTGTTCTTCTTTTTTTGAGAGTCTG